ATAAAATTACTAAAAGATAAAAAATTTGGTTTAAAGACAAAAATTAAAAATAATTAAAAAAATTATAATTTTTTTATCTAATTATTAATTTTTTATTTTTTATATATAGTTTAATATTAGTTTAGATTACAAATAAACTAGTTTAGACTCTTATTATTGCATATAATTTTTATTTTTTATATTAGAAATAGAGTGTAATGAAATGTATTTTTTTATGATAAGTAAAGTGTCTTTACATTATATATAATCCTAAAAATTTATTTGTCTTTCATTGATCTGTGCCATCATACATTAATGCATAGTAATGTGTCACTTATATGATAACTAAATTTTTTTTGTATACATTTTATACAGTGTGTATCTAGCAATTTAATTAGGATAGTATATAGTAAATTAGTATAGTACAAAAACACAAATAGGGGCAGACATGTGAAAATTATAATAGAATGTATAATTTGTAAAAGAAAAATTTTCTTGAACAAGACTAATTTTTCAATAATTTTATACAAAAAAAGAACAATATTTGCACTTGCCCTAATTCTAAACATAAAAATAATTTATTTGTAAAGAATTAGATTTTCTTGTTTATTTGGTCTAAAGATATAAGAATTGTTGATATGACAAGTAAATATTAGTTAAATAATTATATTAACTAATTCTTATTAGGCATGCTAAATAACTTATCACATTCTTGTGCCAAATAGATAATAAATTAATTTTACAAACCTATGTTAACTATCCTATTATTAAAATTTTACTCAATTTTCATATATCCATATATATTTATACAATTATACACTATTACTTTACTAACTATCTTAGAAAGAACTAGCAAAAATTTTGCTTACAGTACTTACAGTTAAAAATGAGCCACTGTGCAGCATTATATAATCTGATCAGAATTATACTAACTAGCCACAATTTTAACTAACCTGGATTCTAAAAATTATACTGTGCAGTTTTTAAAAATTCTGCTATGTATAGTCTATAATATACTGTTATATAATACATTATTACACATGTCCAATAGTACAACAACCTATATATTTACTAGATGCAATACTAATACTCTTTATGTCTTCTAGTTCTAGTTTTGTATGACAATGTTGTGCAGCTATCTTATTAATAATTATAGCTTTAATAGTTATTACTGAATTGATAATTTCATCTAATAGATAAAGAAGTTTGAAACTAGAGAAAGCAATAGCTATCAGAATGAATACTAATAAGATAGTTCAAATAAGCTTTAAAATTGTTCTATGGCTAAAGTATTTGTGAACAATCTGGTTATAGTTCCAATTAAAGTTGCAGATTATGAACATAAGCATCCAGACTACCTTATTTTTGTTTGAAGTTCTGATCTAATTTCTTAATTATAAGCAACCAGTTGTATATATAAAATTTTTCACATAATTATACTAAATAAATAATATCTGATAATAATGTATATTTTTCTTTTATTTAAATTTTTAGTGCCATGTATGATAGAACTTTATAAACTTCAATAAATTTATCATATTTAATCTAACAAAAAATAATTGCAGGTAATAATAATATTAATAAATTACTTATATATGTGTTAAAGCTTTAACAATAAAATACTAAAAAAATCTTAACAATATAACAATAAATTTATTTAAATATTTAAGTAAGTTTATTTATACAAATAATATTAATACATAGATAAGTTGTTAATTAATAAAAACAGAATTTCAGATTTTGATTTTAAGGCTAAATTGATTTATTAGTTCAAAAGCCTGAATTCTAGTTTTCTTTTAATAATATTTAAATACAATAAAAGGCTATTATATTGTTTATTGCTTTTGAATATTTGTATATAAGTCAAGTGCTGTACTTAATAGCTATACACAAAATATTTTGATTTATCAATGTGGCTCAGTCCTTCCAAAGCTTAGAGGAGTTAAATCTCATAATACTTGATCTTCTTTAAAAATTTTAAATGTTTTACTGAAGTTTTACTATTTTGTTAGAGTTTTGCTATTTTGCCAGAATTTTGTCATTTTGCTAAAGTTTTGTTGTTTTGCCAAAGTTTTATTTTTTGCAGAGTTTTGCTATTTTGTCAAAGTTTTACCAAGTTTTGACTTTTGTCCAGTTTAGTTTTGACTTTTGGTATCTACTAAAAATAGTTTTGTTTAACAACTGTAGTTATAACTCGCACTTATATAGACTAAAAATATAAAGGTTTAAAGCAAAGAATGACTCAGTTAAAACAAATACTATATACAGAATACAAAATGTAATTGATCAGGTTTAGTGTTCAATTATGATAGTTCAAATTAAAACTTTAAATCATAAGATTATTGACTGATAATGAAAAAATCATTTAATGTTAAGTTATAAGTTGTAATAAAAAGAATTTTTTTGCAAAATAATACAAAAAGACAGAATTTAGATTAGAATAATTATAAAATTATCAAATATCTAGAAAGTTTATTAAAAGAAAAATAAATATTTTTATATTTTGTTAATTTTTAAATAAAAAATTCATATTTTTTATTAAAATTTAAACTTTAATTAAGTTTAATTATTTTATCTTTATTTATGTTTATAGGCATAGTCCATTTTTAATAAATCAAAAAATATAGAATAAAATATATACTACCATTAAACTTTTTAATATATTTATTTATAATAATAAAGATACAATATAAGTTTAAAAATTATTAAAAAAAATTTCAAAATAAATATTTTTTGATAAATATAGATAAGTTTTTTAAAAATATTTGTAAAAAAAAAATTGTTTAATTTTAATTTTCAATTATGTTAATAACTTGTTTGATTATTAAAACTAAATATTATTTATTATAAAATAATATAGTTTATATTTAGTTAAACTTCATAAATATACTCAGATTTAATAACTTATATATATATTTTTATATATTAACTAAATTTTTTTTAAATATAAAAATAGAATGAATTAATAAAATTTGAAATTTATATCTTTTTTTATTATGTATTTAGAGTAAGATTTAAAAGCTTAAATTAGAAGAATAAAAGAGTTATGCTTAGAATTTCATAAAGAATGTTTTTTATTAGAATTTCAAAGTAATTTTGTTAGTAAATTTTTATTTTATATTATACACTAATGATGATCACAATGATGATGAATAGCAAACCTCCTATATAAATATAAAATTTATGCAAATTTATTTATATCTATATAAAAATAATTTAATTTACTTTAGCTATTTCTCACAAATGATCAAGGTATCACTGATTGATGTACTAAGTAAAAATGTTCAGCATGCTCTGAAACCTTCCTCAAACCCTAATTTAAACTTTAAAATCTAATCCCAGCTTTAATATTTAAATTAAATTTTTTTTGCTATTTTATATAAATCTACATAATTTTACATAAAAACAACTTCGTGATGATTACCTTCATATACCACCTTTACCACCACAATACTAACCAGATACGCTAGTTGCCAACGCACTAGCTCTACCAACGCATACCAACACATTGTTTGTCAATCTACAAATAGATGCAACCGGCTATATTTACCGATTGTTGGTTCTAAATATGGGTTTTTGAATAAAATCAAATGAAATCATCAGCGTCTAAAAAATTGATGTACAGTACGTGATGTTACACGAAACTGATATACGCGAATTATTACGCCTTTATGTAACATAAAAATATGCGCTAAGTAATTTTAGAAAATTTGTCCGGTAATTTTGACCAATTAAATTTTAAGTTCAGGTGTAACGTGCTAGAGTTGAGATAAGAACAATGTGACGCCTGTTAGTAAAATTTCACGAGGAACATTTTAATTAGGCCGCAAAAGGTGGTTTCCTAAATAAAATTTAAAGATATTCTTGTTTTCGTAAAAAAGTAGATCGTTTCGATTTTCACATCATCCTTGATCTTACAGGAGGTGAACAATTTTTTATGTGAGAATCACAAAGGGGGATAATTTGCGTACATCAGTTTCGTGCAACATCACGTACATCAATTTATTTCTTTATTTTATTATTCTACTAAAGTTTTCGCAAACACAAAAATCACAGTTAGGTTGCATAAACATAAAGTTTAATTTCTTTGTAAAAGTATAAAACTAGTTGCATTTATTGTCTAGCTTGTCAACGAAGTGACATGGCTAGCATTATTGCGAGATCAGAAGATCTCATGTCATGTGCAGAACTGGGAAATTGTATCCTTTTATGGTAAAGTGATACAGGGTAGGAGCGCGTCTAATGAGTATAGTTAAAATGGAAGGTTTTAATCGAAGTACAACGCATATGAAAGGGGTAAGTTATGAGAAGTTTTTCACGAACTGGCATGTGAAGGACGTATACTTCCTTGTGCAGTCTATATGTATAAGCGGGTTAGAGTTAAGTCAATACCTGATTGTTGTGATAGGTATTTAAAATTATGAGCGAATGTTAGGATCGTTAGTTTTGGCTTCGCTATTGCCCGCCTTATAGTACTAGGCTGGCTCTTTCGACCCTCCCATACCCTCCCTATCAATAAGTTAATTATGCAGCTCGATGATAGGTGATGCAAGACTGCATAAATCTCTCAAGTGGCTCAACGACTAAGTTTTAGTGCAATGACCACAGGGCTCCTATATTCTAAGAAAAATTAACAAAGACCTAAACAGACTATTTATTTTGCCGATTCTCTTTCTATGCTATGTTCATTCTACTGATCATTCCTCTTATGGACTAAGAAAATACTGTATTCTCGAATGCTATTTTATGTAGTAGCGAGCCTTAATCCCATATGTATATTCCTGTTATTTACTTAATAAAGTATGATCGAGCAATAATAATGATATAAGTTCTTAATATGTTTCTACTTAAAAGGTGGAAATCATCGCAAATCTCTTGTCGAAAACCTCGATCAAAGCCTTAAACGATTGGGAACTGGATATATTGATCTCATGTATGTTCATGCTTGGGAATTTCGTACTCCTATTGAAGAAATGATGCGTTCTTTAGATGATGTTGTTAGAAGTGGAAAGGTAGGCTACTTGATATTTAATAATTAGTAATTGATATAATTAGTATTTTTGTTTGTATAATTCTGCAAGTATTAATTAACATTTAGATTAACATTTAATAAAAATTTTTAAAGGTGCTTTATATCGCAATTAGTGATGCACCAGCATGGGTAGTTAGTCGTGCAAATACGATGGCCGAGTTACGTGGTTGGAGGTAAACCATTCATATAATGATATATTATATTTCTTTATTTATTGTCAATAGGGAGTAACAAAATTTTTTAATTTATTTAAGTCAATTTATTGGATTGCAAACACGATATAATTTATTGAATCGTTCTTTGGAATGTGATATACAAACTGCTTGTGCTGAACTTGATGTATGTAAATAAGATTTAATATCGTTATACTCGAAATATTATTTCAAATTTGATGAATATAAAAACTAATTTGTTAATTTGTATCATAAAGGTTGGAATTATTCCTTGGGGATGTATCGCTGAAGGGTAATTATAAACCTTTTTTTTTTTTTTACCGTATTTAATGTTTTATGTTTTATGTAATTATTTAACGAATTGATCTAAACCGATACTGTTTCTGTTTCATTTCACATAGATTTTTGACCGGAAAATACACCAGAGAATCAGCTGCTAAGTTAGAAATACCTGATAACTTGAGAAGTGAACGTGTTTACTCAATTAAAAGATCTGCAGAAAATGAAAAAAATTGGAAAATCCTTGATGAAGTCATGGCAATCGCTACTGAAACCAAGAGAACTCCTGTTCAAGTAATTTTATTAACCAGATTGTTTATAATTACTTAGATATTTTTGGTTATTTATTTATTTTTTAAAAAAAATTAAAAGGTCGCTTTAAATTGGATCTCACAAAAACCTGGTATTACTTCTCCTATAATTGGTGCTAGAACAAAAGCTCAATTAGTTGAAAATCTTGGAGCTCTTGAATTCAAGTAAATTTTTTTTATAAATTTCCATTACATTTGTGTCAAATTGCTCCTTTACTTATCATTTACATTAATAATTTAATAATTTAATTAAATAGGTTAACACCTGAACAAATGGCAAGGTTAGATGATGTTTCATCACCAAATGAAATACCATTTCCATATTCTATATATTCGAATTTTGAGAAATATATTGGTAAAGGAATGCAAATTCCTGACAAGTATAAACCCGCTTTTATGCTGGGTGCACAAGAAAAATTGTAAGTGGAATGCCTTGAACTAGAGACGTATCATTCCATGCTTGTGCAAGCATCCATAAATATATATCTTTATATTGTAACTAGGTGCTTGAGTTGCTTAAAGGGAGTCGTTATGTGTGCAATATATTGTATCATGCTAGACATTATATAAAAGATTTTAATAAACATTTATACATTTATATTTAAATTAACAAATCTTAAATAAATATACTTGATGGGTAAATTATGACTTTTATTTTACTATTTCCGTTAATATCAAATTCATTATTATTTATTATATCTATAAAATAATGAAATAAATATTAAATCGATAATTAATAATATATTAACAATTTAAAAAAGAATCATCAAGAGCTTTTCACTCGCTTGGTACTTAATGACTTTTTTAATTATCGCTCATTAGATTTAAATCATATGTAAGTAGATCTCATATCAATACAAATATCTAGGCGAACTTCTAGGACCGATTATTTTATATAACGAAGATAAATGTTATCTCAAAGCTAGAAATGGCTTTTACAATGTTTTATTCTTATTAAAACGTTATATCTCCAAAAGAAACTAAAAAATTAAAGCATATAAGTTGCCCAAGCGATCGATTTAGTTCTTCAAACCATAAAAAAGAATTTTGCAAATTCTAAAAAATTGAAATAATAGTTTGTCAATAAAAATTAATAATTGTCTGTTAATAAAAATTTAATTTTAAAATAAACATGCTTGAATTACTTAGCTTTGGCGCATAAAAATAATGTCAATGTTAAAGAGTATAACAAAGTATTCCTACGTGTAATTCGGTACCAGAGCCTAGGATGTGTACCGATATCACATCATATTCATACCCAACCAATCTCTCTTGCATCTCTCTTACAAGAGTAGGTTGTTCTTCTACGTAGAAATAGAAATCAGTTTTCAAAATTTCTAAAAGTTATTAAAAATTGATTCACTGGAATCGATCTTTTATAAACTTTTTAAAATTTTAAAAGTTGATTTTATCTTTGTTTCTATGTAAAAAGCTTTTCTTAATTTGCTAACAAATTCCTCTATCCCCAAAATTTTTCGACTGCTTTATTTAAGGAAGAAACTTAACTGGCTCTTTCTCGAGAACCAGTAGACCTTAAGCAGGAGAGATGAAAAATGTTGGGTGTCAAAGGAAAAGAAGCAAACTAAGTGAGAAAAAAACAATACGTTAGTATATCAAATTTATATTGTTTTGATTATTACTAAAAATTATGTAATGTTGATCATTATTCAACATTTACATCATTTTGTGTGTTTTCAAATGGCTAATTTCCTTTTTGGGCCTGTATCATGCACAAATATAAGTATTGTTACTGTATTATCTAAAAAAAAAAACAACCAGTTTTTAAAAATCTGACGTACATATTATTGTATTATCAGTTATTAGCTTTATATGTATTTTATAGTGTACCCAAAATCCGGATCCGACAAATTGAGATTATCATCTGATCTGAACCGTGGGATGGGATTGGGCTTAATAAAACTGGATTGATCCCTGGATTGATCCCCGGATTGAATTATAAATACATTCTAATACGTAAACACTCTTTTAAATTACATATCGATATTAGTTCAGTCAATGGGCTTAGGAAAATATGGTAAATTTGTTTTCTTCCAGATCGTCATCTTAATGATAATTAATAATAAGTATTGACAAATCGCCCATCTCTAGAAATAAGCAACCAGAAGCATTTATATTCGAACTCAAAAGTCATAATGGAACGTATTTTATCGGCATTCAAAATATGTATTTTGAACTATACTACACTTCGATAAAAAAAATTCATTTATATATTATATAACGCAAACTGATGGTTTATTTCTCTGTGCAATAACATCTTAAAATTATGGTCGATGAATTTAGTTCTAAGAGGTATGAAGGTCATGGAAAATGTGCAAAATGCAAGCGATATAACATATCTCGTGGTTGGTGTCAAACATGAAGATAGTACAAGGATGGATGATTGTATTAAAGAAAGTCAACTTAAAGCTACGTCTTATGAAGATGTGATTGAGTGGGTTTCGTTTTATAGATTAATTAATATTTAAAAGAATGGTGATGGATTTTTAGCAACGTGATTAGATGGAATACGATA